AAAGCCGGTGTTGTTTGCCCTAAACAAATCCTCAACACCGTTGCCGAGGTCTCCCCCATCCCCCCACTTACCGTAGTGCACTCAAAGATCCAAACAAGTACAATGTTATGCAGGATGAATATAATGCTTTGATTGCTAATAATACATGGGATTTAGTACCATCCTCCCCCAACCAAAATGTTCTCTCTGGCAAATGGCTTTTCAGCGCCATAGCATTGATTATGATGAGACGTTCAGCCCGGTGGTCAAGCCCGCAACCATACGCATCATCCTCAGCTTGGCCGTCTCTCGCGGGTGGCAGATCCACCAGCTGGATGTCAAGAACGCCTTTCTTCATGGCTCTCTCACAGAGACTATCTACACAGCACAACAATGTGGGTTTCAAAATCCTGATCGCCCTCACTACGTCCGCAAACTGAACACGGCGCTCTATGGTCTGAAACAGGCACCGCAATCCTGGTACCAGCATTTCACGAGCTTCCTTCTCTCCCTTGGGTTCCGCGGTTGCAAGAGAGACCTCCTTGTTCATTTATGGCCAAAGGCCACAGATGGCGTTCTTACTTCTATATGTAGATGACATCATTCTCACAGCCTCCAACCAGGCACTCCTTCAGAGAATCATTTAGCGGCTGAAGGGAGAATTTTCTATGACGGATATGGGGGACCTCCACTTCTTCCTGGGGATCAATGTCCAGCGCACGACTCATGGGTTGTTTCTCACACAGACTCAGTTCCTCTATGACATTCTTGAGCGTGCAGGTATGCTCTCCTGCAAACCGGTCTCTACCCCAGTTGATACACGTGGGAAGCTATCAGCCTCAGTAGGTCCCCCAGCGCCGGATCCTACCTTGTACTGGTCCATAGTAGGGGCATTACAGTACCTCACATTCACCCGTCCTGACATCACATATGCCGTCCAGCAGCTGTGCCTTTTTCTCCATGATCCACGCACGCCACATGTCACGACAATGAAACGGGTGCTACGGTACCTCAGTGGCACACGCTCTCACGACATCTCTATCTCTCCGTCTCCAACGGAATTTATGCGGGCTTACTCGGATGCTGACTAGGCTGGTTGTCTTGACACTTGCTGGTCCACGACTGGATACTGCATCTTCCACGCACGTACAGAGCTATAGCAAATGTTGTAGCTAAAGTTAGTTGGGTGCGTAACTTACTCCTGGAGCTTCAGCAACCACTCAGCCAATCCACCTTGGTGTTTTGTGATAGTATTAGTGCCGTCTATCTTTCTGCCAAACCTGTCAAACACCAGCACACAAAAGACATTGAGGTTGATATACACTTTGTTCGATACAAGGTAGCTCTCGGACAAATACGAGTTCTCCACGCCCCTTCCTCGTTGCAGTATGCAGACATCTTTACAAAGGGTCTCCCAAACATGATCTTCTCAGAGTTCCGGGATAGCTTGGGAGTCTCGCAATCATCGCCAGTGCCGTTGGGAGCATGTTAAATATAGTGTTATATATTTAATATATTATGTATCTATTATTGTATTATATGTATATACTAGTTGCGATACATGTTTAGGTTACCTTAATTGCATTTCCTAACATAACTAGGACTCTCCTAGTATATAATCTCTTGTAATATCACATTATGAATCATTGGAAATATCAAATCTTTCAAATATCAATAAACTAATTTCGAAACATAATTTTAGAATAACATATTTTCATGGTATTTGTTTATATACGAACGGAAATATTAATGATCAAAATTTTGAATTAGAGTGCATGAAAAGTCAATTGACAAGAAAGATATATATGAGAAAGATGAAGCCTATATTTGGAACAAATAATAAATAAAAAAAGTAAATATTTTTTATGAAGGAAGGAGCGGCCACCTGACCCAGGGCAACATCGGCTCCTCTACAGTGACAACTCCCAAGGCAACAACTTCCGCACCTGGAACCCTAGCTAACTTTGTGGCAACAAGGCGAACGAAGGTCGACTTCTTGTAGTGCTTCCAGTAGTATGAAGATGAATATCATGTATTTGGGTTGCGAATATTTCATATCATGTATGAAATGAGTACTAAATTTTTGTAAATGTTCATTTCTTTATAATTTTAACCATTACATGACCTTCAAATGTGTATATGTATACTTTTCAAAGTTGTGAAATTGAGTAGCATTGTATTTCTCAAGTGTACAACTTAAAGAAAAAAAATATACAAAATAAATATTTTGTTACTCTTAAATGAGTATTGGGTGGATATATCTAGAGTATATGGTACAACCGATTGTGTAGTATACAAACTCGGCAAGTAAGGCTCTAGTATTTTCAACTTTTTTAGTACTATCGACTCTATTGTGATTATAGTATCTATTCATATTTTTTCAATCCAACGGCGCACGATGAACTAATATTTTGGCTAGAAATAGAACCTAGTTGAGTATCTCGCGTGATTTGAGAAGTGCACTTCTTATCACTTAAGTTAAGAGAGAAGCTTTATTAACTTGAACTTATTCCTATTACTTATTACATATTTACAAGAACCAGATTCGTCCCAATCAAATTAAATCATACATTGGTAAAACTAAAATTACGCGATCCTAGAATATTTGTTCAGTTTTAACTTTTTATAATTAACGATGTTCAACTTTGGACATATAATTAAATGCGTCCTCTCTTAATTTATTCTTCACACTTGGAAGAATGTGTAAAATCTCAACTTTTTAAAAATAGTTTTATTTTCAAATTAGTATGAAAACAAAAAGTATAAATAACACCGTTTAAATGTACATAAACAATTATACAAAACAAGAGGTGACAAAAATATTTTGTTTTATGAAATGATATATGAAAAAAAATCAAATTTCAACAAAATACTAAGTATATCAAATATTCAAATCTAATCGGACAAAGAAAACAGTACTAGAATATTATGTTATCGTACCTCCGATTTTCTATTAAGAACTCACATGTCTCACATTATTTGAGATATACTTTGAGATACACTTGACTTTCAGGTAATAACTCCCAGGTCTCAAATTATCTGAAATATACCCTAAGGGTTCTTAAAATTTTTGGTAATATACTTCGAATATGCATTCTGTCTATTGAGCCATTGAGATTGAAAGTTCCGTTTTATTGAAAAATACTATCTCCGCCCTGAAGTATTTGTTCAGTTTTGACTTTTTTCAGTCAACCATTTTATATTTTCACCTATAATTAAATAAAATATATATTGTATATTAATTAGACAAAATAATATTTTTAAAATTTCTAATATAATAAATCTAATAAAATTATTTTTGTACTAATATTCAATATTTTTTTTTTTAATTTGAGGTCAAAGGTTACCAATTTTGACCAAAAAGTCAAAAGTGGATAAATACTCCGGGACGGAGGAAGTACTAAATTTTACCATGATAATCACAATTCTATTAAATTTTAATAAAATTCTTCAATTTGTCAAAGTAATAAAATTTTTAATTTTAAGGCTTAAATGGACGTAATATACACTCGGAGTATAATCACAAATTTATGATCTCAAATATATTTTATATAATGTGGGATTTGAGTGTTCTCACGAGAAAATAATGTGGGACTAAAGTATATTAATCTTGGATTGAGGATACCCGACTTAGTTTTCTGAAGCAATAAGGTCTGGGCATATTGTAAATTATATTGTACAGATGGATGTATCGTACATCATAGCGAATTTGTAATTAAATTTTTTCCCAGAATGAATACTATATTTTTCAGAATGAACACGCTACATTGATCAAACTTAGAAATAGCACTACATTGCTTCAAAATAAATACTATGTTGATTCATAATTAACATTTATTAGATGTACATAGCTTTAAGTACACTCGAATATACTCCCACCGTCCGACCGTCCCTAAAAGATTGCCACAGTTAACTTTTTTGGTCGAACTGTAGCATCTTTTGACCGCAAATTATGAAAAAGTATATATAGTTATAATGTAAATTTAGTAAAATTGAGTTTATTTTAAAAGAGAGCGTCTAAAATGATACCAGTTACTTATACACCTCTTAGTTTGGGTATCTACGGTGCCCGTTTGTAAAGATGACACTTCCTACCCCACTGCCACGGTAGGGAGACGTGGATGGGGTGGGGGGTTTAGTAGGGGTTAAGTGGGGCAGGAAGTGTCACTTTTACAAACGGGGCAATGTAAGTATCTAAACTAATTGGTGTAAACAAATGACACCAGTGGTACTTGTGTCATTTTAGACTTACTCATTTTAAAATATAGTTTTGAAATATTAAATTTTCATAGTATTTAACTATTTTTAATTATATTTATTTTGTGGTTAAAGAGTGTTACAGTTTAACCCAAAAAATCAAACTATAAAAATCTTTTAATGTAGAAATCACCATAAATAAGACTAAAACATAGAGAAAAGTACCAAAATAGGACTTTCATGTTTTTTCCCCGAAATAGGACTTTGCACTGTGGTAATGTAACAGTGTACATGTGCACATGACTATACTTTTTTGGTAATGTATATGACCATGTTTGGTAATGTGACTTTGCACTGTGGTAATGTGACTTTGCATTGTGGTAATGTAACAGTGTACATGTGCACATAACTATACTTTTTTGGTAATGTATATGACCATGTTTGGTAATGTAAGTTCTATTTCGGGAATAAAAATATGAAAATCCTATTTTGATATAATTTTAATGTTTTAATTCTACTTTAGTCTTTCTCCCCCTTTTAATGACGTAGGCCCCGTTCCGTTCAACTTATTTTTTCTTATTTTTTCTTATTCTTATTAAAATCAGATCAGATCAGATCAGACCAGATCAGATCGAATCAGATCAGATCAGATCAGATCAGATCGAATCAGATCCAATCAGATCAGATCAGATCCAATCAGATCAGATCCAATCAGATCAGATCAGATCCAATCAGATCAGATCAGATCAAGACTTATTAAAATAAGATCTCATCAAGAATTATTATTATTATTATATTATTATTATTATTATTATTATATTATTATTATTATTATTATTATTATATTATTATTATTATTATTATTATGATCATCATCATCGTCATCATCATCATCATTATTATTATTATTATTGTTCTTAAAAATGAAAAAGAATAAACTTTAGAAATAGGTTAAATAAAAAGCTGAGAAAGTAATCCTTAATTATTAGACGTCGGAAAAATTAGTTTTAAAATACATTGACAATGTCAATCTAATTCTACTTTTAAAATATATTTTTATTGCTACTTGTAATTTGAGTTTCTAAACTTTTGATCTTTTATAAGGATGAGATATTTTAATAAAAATACTATCTCTTCTATATATTGATTATCTAAATTTAATTACTTTTAAATGTAT